TAGAAGTTGTTTTCTCTTGCTCTGTCTCTTGTTACTTGGGAGAAGAGACTGGCCACCACTTGTAGTAGAGAGTGATAAGGTCCCTCCCCCCTGAGCCTCCTTTTCTCCAGACTAAGCAACCCCAATCGTTCAAAAATCCTCACTTCTGCATCCAGGAAAGGAAAATTAACCTGGGAATTTGAGCAGGAATGTTCCATTTCAACTGAGACACAAGGTTTGTCACAGAGTGTCTGAGAACATGAGAAAATACAGCAGAAATTGTCCTTTACAGACAACCCACCAAGATTATATTGCACAGAGCATCATGAGGCCCACTAATCATACTAAATGGATCTGGAAGCTTAAATTTTTCTTCTTTTGGAGGATCTGAATGTATTTTGCCCAAAGCTTCCTTTCCCCTATTCTTTTGTGAGGAGTGAGGGGTTAGCCATGACATTGCCAGTAACTCAGAGGTTTGGAGTACTGCTACCCATGTGATCCTGCTGTCAGTGGCCTCTGGACCATGTTGAGGGATACTTCCTGTCACTCTCATTGACACTGACCTACAGTTCATTTTAGTACTGTTCCCAGAGATTAGTAACACAAACCATGTGGTGTAGTGGGCATTTCTAGAGGACATTTCCATTAAATTACAACTGAACATACAGATGTTGTGAAACCATAAGACATTATGGACCCTAATTTTTAGCTTACAAGAAAGTTTAAACACGGTATTTAAAGTCACCTTGGAGTTAATTGAAAAATAAAACAAACATAGCAGATTGAAAAAACAATCTCATTAATCTATCACTATTTTGTGGAGAGAAGGGATCAAAATAATTACTGCCTGTCTAAAACATGCCTCCTAAAGAAAGAATTTAACTTTTAAAATTAAGTAAGTTTATTCTTACAAGTGGAAACTACAGGAAAAAAAATAGAATGTTAAAATATTTTTACTGTTTTTAAAGCATAGTTATGTAAATGTATAATTAACGATACATTTCTAACAAGCAAAGTAGTGGCTTTACTTGACATAGTCTAAAATATATTACCTTGAGTTCTACGTAGTTGCAATCTGTTCTGGTATCTGAAAACATTATGGTGTAATAAAATGTGAAATTTTGCAATATCTACTGTTGGGGTTTTTTAAATATAAAAAGAAACCACTAAATACAGCTATAAAACAAATAAAAAAATAAATTTAATTTTTATATCATCTATGTTTACTAGTATGCATATATATATACTAAAAAGCAAGAACACATTTAATAAAGAGTGAGAACATGTAAGTAAGGACTCTTTATAATCAGTGTTTTTGTGTGCATATATTAATATATTTGAAGACAATATTTGGATGTCAATGCATCTCTGTTCTCTTCAGTCCCCTTCCTGCCGCCACAGGTCTGTCACATAACAGGTGGCATATGGGCAAGCAGCTGAGTTGTAACTGGGTGCATCAGACTGTCCCAGGGCTGCCAACTGCAGGATGGGGATGCTGGTTTATATTAGTTCAGTAAGTTGGGAGTGCATATAGTGTGCTGGCACTGCGCCTGCTTCCTTGGCAGGTGTGATCCAAGCACCCTGCCATGTATACACTGTTCTGGGAATATCCTGTCAGCATTGCCATATTTCTCAATCACAGGAAAATATCCATGCTCTTCAAAATGTACAACTATGTGTGGAAGTTAACACTTTTGCTAGAATGTCTCTGATGCCAACAAATTGCTAGATGGCAAGCCATGTATGCATTATTTATGGTACAAAGCAATATGAAAGCATGAAGAAAAAAATAGAGTAAAAAAAAAAAATGGAAGCTGAATGCCAGGGAAAATACACTGACTAAAAATGAGAATTTGTGCTCTCCTAGTCCTCCAAAGGCAGACAATACATAGGCACAGTGCTAATCTCTTGTCTGCTTGCACAGATACTGGGTGTCTAACTGTCAAAAATTATTTAGCATGTAAACAATTGAGTGGCCCTTGTCCCTTTCTTCTCTGAACTGATGTCATCTTCCATGCACCTGGAGCTCCTGAGTCACATCCATGTCCCTGACACTGACTTGTTTTGTGATCTTCAAAGATGACGGACCAATGCAAAAATTGTACTTCCAATAAATAATTCAAGCACTTAAACTGGAATGCTAGCACTCATGGACTTGCTGAAAAGTACCATACACTGTTACAGCAAAAAATGGCAAAGTACTGCATATGCCAAAAGTAACAGAGAAAGCTTTTTTATTCTTGTCCTGGCATGTACTGGCAGTCTCATTTCTCATCCTCCAGCTGCTGTGAGTAGGAAGCTGCCTCTGTTCCTAGAAATGTCCTATTAGGGTATTTTTTTAGTCTAGGTTTTTCCATTTGCAAAATGAATTTACCAATTCTGCAAGGCCTTGAAATTTAGTTACTACATAAATATAAAAGATGCAAGTTTTATACAAGGAGAAATTTTCTTATACTTGTCCTCAAGACCATCCCCATCATTGTGTTCAATGTTGTCTTCATTCATATTATTATTCATCTCTTTTTTTCTGTTATATTGTACAAGCATATATATATATATATATATATAATTATAATACTTTTCCCCTCCTTTAAATACTCATCTTTTTCCCTGGCCCAGCCTGTTGCTGCACCCAGTTTTCTTAGTTTGCTGTCTATGAGAGAGTTGCAATAACCTCTTCTGTAACAAGTTATCTTGTCATTTTATCTTTTGCTATTAAATGTTTTCAGAGGTTTGTTTGAAAGATGCTGTATGAAAATGAATTAAATTTTACTGGTTTATCCTGAAGCAGATGTTGCACTGAATTGATTCCCCCTTTTCTCCCTTCTAGATTTGACTTGTCATCTTTTTAAACAGATTTTTTGTCCTTCTGTTCTGGTTGAGGTTTCTTTTTTTTTTTTTCCTTTTTTAATATTGTTTATTGATTCAGCACACAAAACACCTTGCACTTAGCAGTTCTCACAAACATTATTTTTGGTAGTGTCCTACTCTTATAAAATAAAATAAAAGCTAAACCAAAACAAAACTCTGAGAATAATGGACCTGCAGAATGCAGTTTCCTCCACAAAGACCTAACAATGAGCCTGTGAGTCACAACACAATTGAAAAGACACACATGAAAAAGGCCAGATGAGGGAAAGTATCTAACACAGGACCATTCTCTTTGGTACATTGATCTCTACCATTAATTTTTTAAAATTTTCAGCTCTGAGACTTTATGCCAACTGGTAAAAATATCTGTCATGTATTAAATAAATTGAGGATTTGTTTCACCCTCTAGATTTATATGAATGGGGCAGTAACAGTGTCAGAATGTTATGTGGGACCACCTGAATAACCAAATTAATATGTATACAAGGGCCTCTGTATACGATATTATGATTTTAAAGCTCTCTGCTGGCCTATATGAAATGGATAGAAATTCTTCAAATTTTTATACAGCAGATTTGCTTCTTGTGGATGGGAAGCCTCTGGCTCTTTAAGTCAACCAACCAAAAAAGGTCTGAGGGGATACTGCTCGCCCCTCTGTTCACATCAATAGGTTGGATTCTGATGCAGGGAAAGATAAGGTTTGATGCTCACATGGTGATCTCTCAGACTAATCTTTCTGCATGGATGAAAGACTGTAATCCACAGTTAGGAAAGTATGACTTCACTGAAGTCAGCATGAGTTTTACCAGTTACTTAGTGGAAACCGCGTTTAATGCCTGTTTATTAGTACTCTCAGAAGTAAAAGTATTCTTTTCTGTCAAACTAGCTGCTCTCACTTGCAGATGAGTGGAAAAGAGATAAAACTGGAAAATCGGTAGGGCTCTCAGCCTTTTATGGGATTAAGAACAAGACAAACAGGTAAATTCCAGAGAACTGTACAGGGGAAATAAATCAGTGACATTTGGGGGAAAAGGTGACAATTCTAACAACACTCTCCTAGCCCTATTTCATACCTCTTTTTCCTTGCCACTGGTTTTAAAGACTGTTTTCTTCCTTTAAGAAATCCCATCTCTTGCCACTTATTTCTCAGTTAGCTTTGTAATACACTGTAATAATATGATTTCTTACAATGTTAAATAATTGTGCAATGACAAATGAAGGATTACGGCTTTTGGTAGGGAATGTGATGATTAACTCTTTTAATAATCAGATATATGGACATGAGACAACATGTACTGACAGATTTCTGCAAAACCATGAAAGGTATCAATTTTCAAACAAAGCTGTCACAGGGATTTACTTATTCCTTTGAAATTACTGTGAATGCTTTTAATTTGTTTTTGTATTTCTGTATATTTGGTAAGATTGCAATCTTCAGAATGACAGAAACACTTGAAAATACCCAGTTTACTGGGTAGCTATCATAAGGATAGATTTTCCCATTACTACCCATGGTATCTCAGTTCCACTCATTCTCTCACAGGAAAAATGTGGTGGTGTGGCTGTGACACTGTTTTGTTGTTGGAAATGGCCTGCTTTTGCTAAAGACTTTCTTCTGTTTTTCAGGACTCTGATTACTATTTGCTCTTGGTTGTTCACGATGGCAGTGACAAAATAACAAAGAGAAGTCCAAGGACAAATGAAAGAGACTTCAGAGCCCTGGAACGATTGGTAGAGGGATCAATAGCACAGAAAGTGATTTCCTTGATTCTCCCAGTAACAAGAGATAATATTGATAGGAATAGGGAGATCCATCAACCAGGTCAATGCATGGCTCTGAGGTTGTTTTCATTAGAAAAATTTTGGGGTTGTTGACCATGGGATGATCTACTCAACACATGGTCTCCTGACACCTGATGGGTTGCACCTGTCACAGAGTTCACAGAACTCAAAAGAGTTCTAGCACAGGAGTGCAAGTGGGACTGGTTGAAAAAGCTTTAAACTAGCTTGGAAGGTGGCAAGGGACAAAACCAGGCTGGCCAGAGATGAGCAAGGGAACAGCCTGTCAAAACTTGAGGAAATGAGCTCTAAGGTGATTCCTCAATATGTCTCAAGAGATGCTGGCTACAGTGTAGCACACCTGAAATGTCTCTACACTAATGCCTTCAGCATGAGGAACAAACAAGAGGTGCCTGAAGGTGTGGCCCAATCCCAGAGATTGACATCATTGGCATAAGTGAAACCTGCTGGGATAAGTCCTGTGTCTGGAGTGCCCTGCTGGACAGGTACACACTTTTCAGGAGGGGTAGGCAGGGCAGAAGGGGTGGAGATGTGGTAGTGTATGGAACAGAAGGCTTACAATGTATGGAGCTCACATGTGGCAATGGCACAGTTGAGAGTCTCTGGATAAAAATCAAGGGGAAAACAAATAATGTGGGAGCCTTCTATACACAGAAGGGAACCTTCTATAGACCTCTTAGCCAGGACAATGATCCTGACAAACTATTTTTTGAAGAGCTAAGGAACACTTCCAAGTTAACTGCTGTTGTCCTTATGAGGGACTTCAACTTGCCTGAAATGATCGAGAATCATCACCCAGATGGCACAACCTGGGCCAGAAGATTCTTAAAAAACCTGGATGAACTTTATGGAGCAGATCTTAAGAGAGTTGACTCAGACAGAGGCCCACCTTGACCTGGCACTTGTCAACAGAGTGAGCAAAGTGGAGATTGGTGGCTGTCTTGGCCACAGAAACAGTGAAGGAATGGACTTTAAAATCTCTGTTGACAGAAGTGCCAGGAAAATCTCATCTGCGGGCATGAGAACAGACTTCAGCCTGCTTGGGGAGTTACTGAGTAAGGTCCCCTTGGAAAATGATTTTGCAGGTACCAGGATCCATCAGTGCTGATCACTTCTTAATCACCTCCTAAGGGCCCAGGAGCAGGCAATTCCCAAATGTCAGAAGTCAAGCAGGTGAGGCAGAAGGCCAGCTTGGCTGAACAAGAATCTTCTCTTGGAAATAAGGCAAAAAATGAAAGAGTATGGCCAGTGGAAGCAAGGTAAGGTGACATGGGTTCCTGATTCTGCACTTGGGATGGGACAGCCCTGGGTGTGCAGCCTGAGGAATGTGATGCTGGAAAGAAGCATCATGGAAAGGGACCTTGGAGGTCTTGGTCTGTGGCAAGTTGATCATGAGTCAGCAGTGCCCTGGCAGCCAGGAGTGCCACCCCTGTCCTGGGGGCATCAGGCACAGCATCACAGCCGGGCAAGGGAGGGGATTGTCCTGCTCTGCTCTGGGCTGGGGGGGGCTCACCTCAGTGCTGGGGGCAGTTCTGGGTGACACAATAAAAAAAAGATATTAAAGTATTAGAGAATGACTAAAGGAAGGAAATGAAGATGGTGAAGGGCCTTGAGGGGAAGCCGTATGAGGAGTGGCTGAGGTCACCTGCTCTGTTCAGCCTGGAGGAGACTGAGGGGAGAGCTCACTGCAGTTACAGCTTCTTGTGAGGGGAAGGGGCAGGCACTGATCCCTTCTCTGTGGTGACCAGTAACTGTACTTCTAGGAAATGGCCAGAAGTTGTTTCAGGGAAGGTTTAGGTTGGATATTAGGAAAAGGCTCTTCACCCAGAGGGTGTTTGGGCACTGGGACAGGTTCCCCAGGGCAGTCGTCACAGCACCAGCCTGACAGAGCTCAAGAAGCATTTGTACAATTCTCTCCGGCACATGGTGTGACTCCTGGGCATGGTGCTGTGCAGGGTGAGGGATTGAGCTTGATGATCCTTGAGGATGATCCAACTCAGCTTATTCTGTGAATGTGTGATTCTGTGACTCCACACTTTGGGCTTTACTGGTGTACATATTTTAGCTGGAGATATGTAAATGTGTGGAGAGGCATCTATTTCAATCAGTTCTCCAAATTTGTGTGTTTCATTAAATTTTATATCTTTTTAAGCTCTCTACATATTGGATAGGTAATCAAAAATTCCCCCATATAGCAAAATGCCCTGGACACCTCCATCATTCTCTTTCACAAAAATTTTACAGAGAGATTAGGGACATCATCCACCACTGTTTTTCTGAGGTAAAAGGAGCTTCTGACAAAGCTGTTATGCACAATACAGCAAGAATAAATCTATCACCACTGTGAAGCATGTATAATATCAGACTTATTAAATCTGTGAAATGGCACCTCTTGGGTGTTCTCATCTCTTCTGAAACTTTGAATGTATCTGTTACTTGGTTGGAAAAGGCAGGAATAATTCAGATTTCATCTTTTATTTTCAGTTAAAAGGTCAGCATAACAAGTGGAAACTTCTGGAATAAGTCTTGTTTCTCTTTCCTATTTCCCACCAATAAGACAAAATCTTTCAGAGTAGAATTGTCCCCACCGAGAAAAACTGTTTACCAGGCTCAACACACCCAAACACTTTAAATTAAGTCTGTGGCCAAGCCAAAAGTCAGTGTTTCAACTGGAACTGATCCTGCTACTTCTCTGAAGTCTTCAAATCATTACAGAACTCATTGCATGGTTTGTCTGAAAGACTGCTGATTTCAGCACCAGTGGCTGTTGCCAAGGAATTTGTCCCACTGTTAACAAGGAAAAAGATTTGGGAAACCTTTATTTGAACAGTTTTTCTTATTTTTCCCTTGACTTCAATTGCAAATAATATCTACAGCACTTCCAAGAAAGAGCTCTAGCTTTCTAGGGGACTCAATATTACTTCAGGTTTCATTCATGTAGCAGTAAGGTGTCCAGCATTATAGGAGTAAACCTAAGGTAAAACCCTACTATTTTCTCAATGATCAAAAATATGAAAAGGGTTGAATCAAGGTCACTGGCTTCTCCACTGTAGCTATCAAGGAGATAAAACATATTACTAGGATCATTTTGCATCTTCTCCAATTAAAGCACTTAATACAGGTTTTAAGGAATTATCTGGAAAACTGAAGGGGTAACAAGTGCCTCACTGTTCCAAATTAGAGAGAGAACTGTGGAAGAGACTAAGCTTCTGAGGAATTATCTGAAATGTAGTGAAAGTCAGTGCTTCTTTCCAATGACGTGAGGAAAATACTGCAGAGACGGAATGCATCTGTATTTGTGCCCAGTGTATTTCCAACAGTTGCATGTTTTCATGGGAAGACTTGGAATGTGCATAACAGAGTGGAGCTTGATACTCACATGTCAGTACCACTCTTCCTCTGGAATAAATTGCCGAAAGAACTTGACTCATTCTGTTTTCTATGGTTTGGTTTGATTAAATATTTGGTGAAAAATCAGCAACATCATTCAGGAGTTGTATGATTACCCTCACAGTAAAATAGGATCTGTTTGCTCATTTGTTTGGACTCTTTTTTTCCCTATATGATTCCTGCTAACTTAAAGACTTATTACACCAATAAAGTATTGACCTGCAGACCAAAGGTATGAGATTTGATTTAGGAGAAAAATCCTTTTTTTCTCTGCATGTGCACCCACTGCCTGTGTTCATGGCACCAAATATAAACACTTCTCTCCAGGAATACAGGAACAGTAGATAACAAAACAGGGCTTCATAAGTGCCCTATCACTAGCAGGCTCTTCTGCCTTCCTCCCATAATATGATTTTCATAGAAAAGAAAATTCAGGCATATAGGTCAGGTAGGTGTTTATCCAATCTTGTACCTCTGTTTTGGGAAAGAAAAAAAGTCTCCAGCCTACAGCTGCAGGTCAGTTTGGAAGTGGTCAAAGGGAACACTGACTGAGAGGACTGCAGGTGCTGGCTTGTCCTTGCTGTGTTGAGTGTTCTGGTGCTGACTAAGACTCCAGAGGTCACCTACAGTTTGCCCTCGAAATGTGAATTGGTAGAAAATTATTTCACCTGCAATATAAGCCTTTTTCAGAAAGATTTATGCTCTAAATCAACTCTCTTACAGCAAGGCTTCTTTTGTTAGGAGAGTTTAAGGAATTAAAAGTATATTTTGTGTCTCAGATTTTAAACAAAGAAAACATTCTTGCTTTACAATACAGCCCTTTTTGCCCTAATCTGGTTTTGGGTTTGCATTTGGTTTTGTTTATTTGTTTAGTACTTTTTGACTAGTTTCAATCTGACAGCTTTCAACACAAAAACAACCAAACAAAATTGGACTGGAAAGAAACCATTGTTCTAGGATTCTTCATTTTCACCTCAACAGTTCTGTAGAATCCTGAATATATGCTTATGCACATATAGATAAGCCAAGTTCTGGATTTGAAGATTTATTCTTAGATTTCATTTTTTATGAAAACTTTGTGAAGTCTGTGGTCAGTCCACTTCATACTACTTTGAAATTTCAGAATTTTCCAGGAGATGGAAAATCTCTACCTACTCCTGTTTAACTTGATAGCATAGTGTAAGAGGTTCTTTAGCACCCTCAGCATTAACAGAACATGTGAACACACCTATTTTTCAATGAGCGAAATGTAATCTGTAATATTTTATTTGTTTATCAGACTGACCTAAAAATCAGGTATTAAACAATATTTGCTTTGTTCCACTCCCCAGTTAGTGCAGAATTTGAGGTTCTAATATATAGAAAAGAAGGGAGAAATACAAAGGCGTAGGGCAGAATCAGATGAATTATGACTTGAAGAATACTTGAAACTATAAATTTGATATTACAAACTTGATGAAATGGTTCAAAACAGAGAATCTAGAGAATTCCAGACAGTCATGGCATTTTAATTTACCTGTGAAAATGGTATCATAACACAAAAAAAAATAATTAGAAAAAACCTCATATTTTCTTATGAAACGACATATTTAACATATGAAATTTCTGGGAAAAATGATCAAGATATCCTTCCTTTCTCCCCATATTTGTCTTCCAGACTCATAATGGCCATAAAGAAGTTCTCAGATAAAGCTGAGAAGAAAAGCCAAAAAGCAGCTATTTAAAATATTCAGAATCTGAAATTTTGCTCTCTTTCCCAACCTTATATGGAAGCTAGCCTTAGGAGAGTTGGGAAATAGGCCTGCAGCTTATTTTTCTTTTTTTTTTTTCTGAAGTGTAACATTTTTATCAGATGGAAATAGCCTTTCCCTATGAGTTGTTTTCAAGGCCATGATATCACCTGCACCTATGAATAAAACGTGCAGTGTGTGGTCCTAAGGGTGTGTGCTCATGGATACAGGCATGGCTGTTCTCAATATATGCTGTGTATTGAAGGACATCTGTGATTAATATCTCACAGGGGATGATTGTACAAAGGACCCTCTGTTCTGAAAGGATCACTCCCATCACTGAAGCTAAAGAATATTAAACGTTCATAGTGATACTTTATGCTGACGTAGCACCTTTGTTCTAATGGCAGGTATCAGGCACAGCATTAATGTCAATGAGCTCCTCTGAGCATCCTTTCCTTGGAAAACTTATTAGTCAAAAGCCTAAACAGAGGTGTAGCAGGATTCCTCTAGCTGTCAAAATGCCCAGCAGGTTTTGAACCCTTGCAGAATGGACAGGGGCTTTTATTAATAGGTTTTTGGACTATGTTTCTGATTTTGACTTTCTAAAATCTGTTTTTTCAGGACCTGATAATGCCCATGTTTTCTATGCTAAAAGACATAAGATCATGTCCAGAGGAAAGTATATAATGAGAAACAACAGTGGAGTTTTAGAGAGATTCTTCACATGCTGCTTGTCTAAAACAGTAGTGTACTAGGCCTCAGCCAGCATTCAAGACATCCCTGTGAACTCTCCATGGGATGATGGAAAATTAAAGTGAGTTTGAAAAGAATGATCTGACATTGACATTGTTGACCACTTCACTTGCTCATAGGACTGGGTGTCACAAAGACACATATGTCCCTTGTTTTGGGAATGATATATTTATTCTGTAAATTCAGTCCTGTCACCAGTCACATTATAAATTTTGCAACTATTTCTTTTTCTTGACACTGTTCATATAATTGTATGTTTTCTTACACTTACCAGTTTTCTTTAAAAAAGGCTGCTAATGATTCAAATGCATGATGTAATCTCAGTATTAAAATCCAATTTATTTTACCATCTAAGTTTCTAACCTCTTTATATTTTGGGGAAGATGTTGGCTTTAAGTGATGAAAATAGCTTTGCCACAGAGATGTGTGGAGAGTAAGTGAGACCTTTAGAGATACAATCTAATCTGCTATTGCATTTCTAAAGCATTTAGAACTGGTTCTTTTCGAACACAGGATGTTGGACTGATCCTTGATCTGGTATGTAAAAGTCGTGTCCCTGAAGTGTTCATTGCAGAAAGGACTGCACTAAGGTCCCAGAAAAGACAAGATGAAGACTTTTGTTTTCCCTTCTTTTGTTCCTTCCTTACTCTATCCCCATCCCCTTCCATTTCCAGACAGTGCCCTAAATTGATTGCTGGAGTGAAACTTTAGCAAGGTATTTGGGTTTTGTTTAACAGTTGACACTTCACACTCAGCTCTGGCTCTGTACCATTCCACTCCTCAGCCCAGTCCTGCTTCTTGCATCTCTCTGCTGTTCCCTCCCTTCTGCAGCTGGCACAAAATCTCCATTTTCAACCCAGCACAACCCAGCTGAACCTAAACAGAGGAGTACTGCATAAAGTGTGACTGTAGCTGAGATAACTTGTCTGTATCCATGATTTCTACCCATTTCAATTACCTTAAGCAATTAAGCTTAATTTTTTACTGGCTTATGACTTCCTTTTTCTCAGTGGGTGCTTGGGGTTTTCTGGAGCTACCTTATTCACCTTCTTGGCAAAGAACTGGCTTTGCTCTACTTTTGAAAAATCAAATTAAAAAAGCAAACAAGCTCACCTCCACTCTAAAACCCAACCACCATTCTTTTACAGTATTTCTAGACTTGGTATCTTAGAAAGTGTAGAGACTGGAGTTCATTTGGAAAAGACAAGCTGGCCTTAAAATTGCAGGCATTTGAGCTATGAAGTTAGGATGTGGATACCTCTAGTTTGAGTTGTGTGCTCTGAAGTAGGCCACACATGTCTCCCACGTTACAGATTATTCTTGGATCATAGGGCAGTGTCATCCTCCTTTTCCTCTCCCCACCTATCTGCAATTCTGTATCCTCCCCCTGCCCTGCACGTTACCCACTGCACGATGGCCAAATATTTTCTGCCTATAGTGATTTCAAATGAAGGGAAAAACATACCATATCTAGTTCTCATATAGATTTTTTATACCTAAATGATGTGGTCAATGCATGTTAAAATGGATTATATGCCAAAACTTTTGAGAATGTACCATTTTCTTTCTTGGTTTGATTGTTTTTTCTTTTTGTTCTCTTAGGTAGTATTGAAGAAGTTCACAGAGCCATTCTCTGAATTTTTTATAAAAAATTTTATAGAAGCTTTCCTCTTTCCCTTATTTTAAGACTGACAGATATAAATGCTCAACAGATTATAATTTTTGTACCTTTGTCTTATTTTCCAGACTGAGTAAACTTGATACCCACTGGAGTTTTAAGCTTTATTATAAACTGCATTATTTTCCTTCTTAAAATATTTCAACCATGGCAGTTCTCAGATCCAGCTTTTCAAGACACAAAAAAAGCTCAATCAGTGTTTAAAATAAACACTATACTTATAACAATAAATAAAATAACAGATATTTCCAACAAAGGCTGTTAAGGGAAACAACTATTAAATTTTCCTGTGACTTCCTTCCAAGGCTTCTGTTAAACTGTCATACTCTCTTTAGGCTTTCTATCATCCTTTCTCAACTCAAAGCTCTTTGTGTGAGACAGGAAGAGATGATCAACAGTTTTGGAAAAAGCAAAGGTTTTCTAGAGCACAATGCAAACCTATTTGTGTAATAGCAGGATCTCAAATTGTAACCTTGCCAAAGCCCACTATTTGAAAATCTCATTGACAATGCCAAATTCTGCAATCCTGGAGATCTCTGAGTAACACCTGAATAGAGCCACACCAAATATTTCTCCACTTGGGAATTTTTTCCGCCAGGTGCTACCCAGTTTGCTGGAGGGGGTGAGACTATTTCTGAAATTTATTAAAACTTCCTCACCACCAAGTGTGTTGATGCTCTCAGTTTGTTACACAGGTTTCTTAATAAATCAGTTCTTCTCTGCAATCCTTATATGTGTCTCTCTTGCACTATTGAAGTTGGCTAATGCTCTTTCCAGGTATTTCCAGGCTCTCCAAGAGCTGAAATCCCATAATTCAGGAGAAAGGGGGCAAAGGAGAATGTGTTAATGGGAAATGGGACCTGGGACTGCTATGGGAGAGTCCAGAATACCACCTGATCTGAGATGGGTACTGTGACATTTTTCTTATCAAGGTGCAAAATCTTACTTCAGCTGGGAGCCTAGCTTTCACTTTTTAAACAGTAAAATGGATTATTTTGAGAATAGTATCCAAATCAAAGTACTATGGGGGTAAATATATTTATATTTCCATTAAAATATTAATCACAGAGTATATTTAATACTGTTTTAGTATAAAAAACACTAAGCTAAGCGGGAAGATAAGCAGAAGGAGAATTTCAAGTTGGTTAAGGAAAAATTTTACATCCTGGTAAACTAAACAGAAGAGTTCTGGAGATGAAGAAAAACTTTAGTGAAAATCAATAATTTGTCAACAACAGCATTAAAAATATGTCTATTTACTGGACTGATTAAATTAGGCAGAAAAAACACCAAAAACCTGAAAAAAGTAAAAGAAGTTGCAAAATATCAAAGGGGTTAATTAATTTTGTCCTTCAATTTTCATAAAAAAGCAAAAAAAGTATTTGGAAAAATGGAATGTTTTGTTTTGGTTTTACCTGGATGATTTACTTGCTCAAGGCATGTTTTTATGGGCCTGCCTTTGCAGAGCATAGGGCATCGTTCCCAGCCCAGTACTGGGGATTGTACTTAAAACAGGTCTGCCTTGAGATTTCCCAAGATCTGCTCAAAAAATGGAGACCAAATTGAGAAGGATTTTTTTAAAAAACAACACAGCAATTGGCAGGTGACCTTTGGGGTCATGCAGTTCATTTTCTGTCAGCAATACACATGCTTAGGATGTCTTGTTCAGGATAACAAGATAACAGCAAAAAAATTGTGAGCCCTGCTTAAAGCCCAATAGAGACTTTAGCAGAATGAGAACTACAGCAATATTTTTTTTTTCTTTAAAAGAAAAGATGTTAAAATTAATTAACTTTTCAGTGCTTTATGATTTTTATTTTTTTCTCCTGTAAGTGCTATTCATGTGTTTATTCACACAGATCTGAACAGGCTGAACTTGATATGAAAGGGAAATCTCATGTTCCACTTTAAGCATGTAAGCCACTGTTCACAACATGAGGGTATTATCAGCTGCATTCATTGAAAGGACTAACCAAAACTAACCAAAATTCACAATTGGAAACTGCAAAATCAACCTCAACACTAGATCTGACTTCTGATTAGAAATAGTTGGGATTTCTCTGTGTTTGGTTTTGGGTCTAACTCAGACATACTCCTGAGCTTCCTAAAAACACAAAAAAGTAGAAAAAGAAGCCAAATGAGTGAGCAATCAGAAAATTGATGCCAAATCAGCATTAATTTTATTAATAGGGTCATTACTTTACCACAAAATATTGAATTACAAAAAAATCAAAGTTTAAAAGCATTTTTCATATGGAAGTTTCATATTTCTGTGTCAGTAAGTTTAACACATAATTAAATTTTTAACAGATAATTTTCATAAGACCTATTTATTTTTATGTTGAAATTACCTTGTAAGTACCTTACAAAATTTAAAGGCGGCTGTAGCCATATAAAACTTAAACTTTATTAACCCTGTGCTGCCTATGAAGCTGTCCCCATCAAACTGCCTGTTGAATAACAACTTGTCACTCAGCACTACAGTGCTGGCATATTTTCTCCTTTTCTAGAAGGCCTGGATAATTTGTTTCTGTCTTTTAAATTTTATCAGCTATAAAAAACCCCCAGCATTTGGCATTTTACAGGCTACTCCTAATGCACCATGTCTTTCTTCCACAGTGAGTCAGTCTAAAGCTTTGTCCCACTGAAATTATTTAACAGACCTCAAAAGTAAAGCTCAAATGCAGTTATGAATTTTCTGACCTTTCAACACATTCAGCAACTGCAGGCAGGCTATTCAGATCAACCACTTTAATCCCATCACATCTAATGTGTCCTCATTAAGAAATCAAAAGGAAATGCCTCTTGTTCTAGACAGAAATGTACTTCAGTGTTAAATACGAATGTAGATATAGTGTGTATATATTATATCAATTTGTATGTATGCATGTATATATATATATATATATATATATACACACCCCAATACATATAGGAAAGGGAAAACCAGAAACTTGGAAATACAAAGTACATCACATAACTGCAATCAAAATACAATTCATTAACCACTGACATTCAGGTTTAGGAAATAAAATCAGAAAGATATAATAGCTGTAAGATCTTTCTATCACTTTTTCTGTTTTAAAGCTCTCTGAAAGATAAGTGGATAGTGTTGTGTTGATTGCTATTCTCCCTTCAGTTTCCCATTTAAATTCAGTGATATTATACCTGTCTGTACTTGATACTTGAAGTAAGAACATCTTTATTCTGCTTTGCCTGTTATTGCTTTTCAGTATTCTGCTAGAGCTGAGAATTCTCAGCTGACAAGTCCCTTTGTGCACAGTTCCACATAAGTCTCTAGTAAGACACATCTCTCCCCCCTAAAAGTTCATAGACTAAATGACAAACTGACTAAAAAAAAAAAGTTTGAATAAAGTAAGGTATCATCAGTGTTTTATGGGTAAGGAGAAAGATTAGCAGAAGGAAATGAGACTTGTTCTTCAGTGCATACACAGCAAAATCAAGAACTGACTTTAGATCTCCTGTTTTCCTAGTGCCATCTCTACAAGACACTCAATCCTACCTTTGATTTAACTTTCTTTTATACTTTCCCCCTGCACCTGCTGTTCAATATCAGGGGTTCAGATTCTACAGAATGACAAGGTGAGCATACAAATGTGCAAGGTTGTAGGTGTAACCAAGATAATTAACATGGA